CATCTATACAATGATGATGTCCTAAGATCTTGAGGGTGTGGGTGTGGATGTGTGCGTGTGGGTGTGTGCGTGTGGGTGTGGGTGTGTGGGTGTGGGTGTGTGGGTGTGGGTTTGGGTTTGGGTGTGGGTGTGGGTGTGGGTGTGGTTGTGGGTGTGGTTGTGTGGGTGTGGTTGTGTGGGTGTGGGTGTGGGTGTGTGCGTGTGGGTGTGTTTTTTCTCACTTGCTAGATGGTTAGACCCACTCACCTGGCACGCATACTCCACACTGATGTTCACATTCACCCACCCGCATACCGCACCTCTCACGCTCACACCCTGTTGGAGGTTAGGGTCGGAGTGGGTGAGACTGAGGATTGGTGTGGATGGATGAGGGTTAGAGTATAGTTGGTTCAGGATGCGTGGGTGAAGTATGTAAAGGTTAGGATGCAGGATAGGGGTGCACCAATTCCAATTCCAATCAATCCCAATTCCAATTCTTGGCTTGGAATTGGCGGAATTGGTTGGAATTGGAATTGGAATTGGTTGGAATTGGAATTGGAATTGATCGGAATTGGTTTGAAATTGGTCGAAATTGGTTGGAATTGGTCTATAATTGATCAGGATCGATCTAGAATCGGTCGAAATTGTTCAAGAATGGGTCAAAATTGATCAAGAGCTGACTGGAATCCGTGTAGAATTGATTTATAATTGAGTTATAATTAGTCTGCAGTTAATTAAGAATTGGTCGTAATTCCTATGGAATTAGCATTGTTTAGGAAAATTTCTATCTAATGTGAATGTTCACATGATACTTTACATAGTACCATAAAAATATCTTCGAATATGAAGAAAAAGTTTTTTTCGAAAATTTCCCCCAGGAGGGTAGGGGGATTTTGAAGATGTATTTGTTTCAAAAACCCTGGGGGCTGCACTCTAAAAAAAATCCGTTTTCTCGGAAACCTATTCAAGGTTTCCAAGTTTGTCACTATATGAAACCATTTATAGGTTTTCAAGAAAGGGTTTTCGCATTCTCGCAAACCCTTAAAAGCAATTAAAAAACCTCAAGATCCTGGAAACGCATTAGAGATTTCCGAGGCTTCGAAAATCTTATATAGCTTTCTGGCAGCAACTCACAATACACTCACTGATCTATATCTGTCGCCTTATTGTAACCGCTTATTCTAACCCCTAATCTAAGTCTTTAATCTATATCTATCTCCTTACTCTATCCCCTAAATGTATCCCCGAAATCTAACTCCTTAATCTAAACCCTTATTCTATCTCTTATCCTATCCCTTATTCTGACCTGTTAATCTAACCCCTTATTCTAATCCCTTACGCTAGTCGCTTGCTCTAATGCCTTATTCTATCACCTTATTCTAACCCCTAATCTAACTCCTTAATCTGTATCTATTCCCTTATTTCAACCTCTCAATCTAACCCCTTATTTTAATCCCCTAATCTAATCCCTTATTCTATCATTTATTCGATTCCCTTATTCTAATCCCTTATTCTAATCTCTTATTCTATCCCTTATTCTAATCCCTTATTATATCCCTTATTATATCCCTTATTCTATCATTTATTCGATTCCCTTAATCTAATCTCTTATTCTATCCCTTATTATAATCCCTTATTCTATCATTTATTCGATTCCCTTATTCTAATCCCTTATTCATTCCCTTATTCTAATCCCTTATTCTATCCCCTTATTCTATCATTTATTCTATCCCGTTTTTCTAATCCCTTATTCTATCTCTTATTCTATCCTTTATTCTGACCTGTTAGTCTAATCTCTTATTCTATCCCCTTATTCTAACCCCTTATTCTAATACCTTACTCTACTCCCTTGCTCTAATCCCTTATTCTATCGCCTTATTCTAACCACTAATCGAAGTCCTGAATCTATATCTAACCTCTCATTCTGTCCCCTTATTCTAACCCCTTATCTGATCGTCTTATTCTAAGTCCTTATTCTACATCTATTTCCTTATTCTAACCGCTTAATCTAACTCTCGTATTTTGATTTGAATTTCGCCATTGATGAACATGTATTCCTAGTATAGAGAGACAAGAAAAGCTCCTCAATATAAACTCATGAATTTCGTCGAAGCGCTTCAGTGTTATGTCTGTTAAAGCGAATACTATGAAACTAGTGAAAGTCACCAAGTGTATATGACTGTTGGATCCAGAGTCATATTGTCAGCTGAAATCCTAAAGTCTTTAAATCTGCCAAGGCCTTAGACATGATATCAGTCAAAGTGCTGAATCTTATGAAAGATAGAGACATGAACTTAATGGAATCGCTCAAGTGTTCCGTTTTCCAAATTCGCGGTCATGAAGTTAGTGGAATTGGTAGAAGTTGGAAGTCTCCTAAATAGAATGTCATTAATTTAGTCTGAATTCTGGAGTATTTATGTCTCCTACGACCGGCATCGTACTGTCAGTCTTATCGCTATAGTCTTCATGTATTCCTCCGAAAGGCTGATTGAAAAAGTTAGTCTTAATCCTGTTGTCTTCCTGTATTTGAAAATCATAATCACAAAGTCAGCCTTAATCATGGAGTCTTTATCTTTGTTTTCAGCAAGAGTCGTAAAGTCAGTCTGGTGTCTTGGAGTCTTGAAATCTCTTAAAGCTGCCGTCATGAAGTCAGTTAAAGTTTTTATATCTTCATGTGTCTTGAAGCCATTGCCGTGAAGTTAGTGAATGTCATTAGTTTTTAAATCCTGTCGAACTCAGAGTCATGAAGTAAAGTGGAGTCCTATAGTCATGAAAGCTTTTTGTCTAGGGAAGTCAAAGTTTTTAAGGCAGTCTGACGTCTGGTGTCCGTATTGCTATCGAAAGCAGAATGTTGATGTCGTTTGGAGTCTTGGGGTCTGTAGTTTCGTTATCGTTGAAGTGTAGTTTTCATGTTCGCGCTTTTTGCGGACCTTTTAGCGGATCAGCCGGGGAAACTATATCCTGCAGTGTGAAGAAATAAATATTTACCGTTTTTTTTGAGAATGCTTCCAAGATATTTTACTTTGTTTATGTGTTCAAATAGATGATTCAGAAACACGTCAACTTATTTTTGAAACGATACGCCATGGCATTCTTTACAATAGGTGAACACAGAAATTGTTGTGATTTGTGCTAATAGATTTGGAGAGAGCTAAAGGGAAATGTGTATGAGAGTCAATAATGTCTCATTGTCCAGAATTTGTTTTTTTCTTCAGCTAAACAACAATCACATTTCGCAGAAGTCTCATTCTTTCCGACTATTTTTGAACATCAAGATGCTCACTTTATCGAGATGATGGTATTCAGAAATGAGTTCTTTTACATTTGATTTGATTTATATAGTAAATGTGTATTTTTAAAGCGTTTACATCGATATCAAAGTGGGAAACTACAACATCTGATACATCTTTTCTTTTAGCTCTCTCCAAATCTGTTAACACAAGCCAAGAGAATCTTTTTTTTGACTATTGTACAGAATATCAGGACGCATGTTTTTAAAAGAATTTAGATTTTATCATTTACGTTTGTGGAGATATGGGGGAATAGATGATGTTGCAAACATTTTGAGACACTCGGTCTTTGTTTTACATTCTCTCGCAAATGAAGATTTCTTCATGTTTACTATCGTTCCTCTGCTATCACTCTTCTGTATAAATCGGTTGAAAGCATCCGGAAACGGCCGAAACTTACACTATATTCGTTGCAATCTGTTGACAAAGATGCTAATGCTGGTACTTGGATGAAACATAAGTGATTGAAGAAGGAGAAAGACGACATTCTTTGAATAATCTGACGATTTTGCGTAGCTCTTCGATCCTTCCACGAAAATTTGTTATAATCCATTCAAGTTTTTCGGTACTGAAAGATGTAAAAACGAGTTGAAATTTTCTTGGAAACAAAGTATTTTTTTGAATTCTCAGAGTTGTAATGGTTTTACAGAACAATTCCATATAAATTGAATAAAGTTAATATCATGCATGTCGAGCAATTCCTAAACCTCTACAATAACGATGGAAACGTGAAAATCAAAAAGAAGATATCCGAATGCTATTTCGATAGTTCAGAGTACTGGATAGGCTTCCGAAATTTTTTCTCAGAAACGCAAGAATTGTTCGAAGACTCGGAAACCCTTCAGAATTTTCGAGACATGTTCTGAAACCATGCTTGATTTCTCGGAAACGCTTCCCTCGTTTCCGGTTCCCGGAAACCCAAAAAGGTTTTCGAGAAGGTTTTTAAATCAAAAGCGGTTTTCAAAAATAGCACCAGGGTTTCTGAGAATACGGTTGAGGGTTTCCGGACCTATCTTTCGAAAACCCATAGGTTTCCGGATGCTCGGAAACCCAGAAGGTATTTTCAAAAACTTAACATTAGTCCGGAAACCTTTTCGGATACGTTTATGGGTTTTCGAAAGGGTTTTTGAAGGGGTTTCGGTTTCTGAGAAAGCGTTTTTTTAGAGTGTGGTAGCGCAAATTTTTGAAAAAAGCTTTTTCTTCATATCCGAAGATATTTTTATGGTACTATGTAAAGTATCATGTGAACATTCACATTAGATAGAAATTTTCCTAAACAATGCTAATTCCATAGGAATTACGACCAATTCTTAATTAACTGCAGACTAATTATAACTCAATTATAAATCAATTCTACACGGATTCCAGTCAGCTCTTGATCAATTTTGACCCATTCTTGAACAATTTCGACCGATTCTAGATCGATCCTGATCAATTATAGACCAATTCCAACCAATTTCGACCAATTCCAAACCAATTCCAACCAATTCCAATTCCAATTCCGACCAATTCCGACCAATTCCAACCAATTCCAGCAATTGGAATTGATTGGAATTGGAATTGGTGCATCCCTAACCAGACAGTTTTCTCTTGTAGAGGCAATATTGTCACTGTTAATTTACAAAGTCTTGTGACTTTTCGCTATCAAAAGAGTAGGGAAATAACTATCTCGGAAGTGAAATAAAGAAAAGAGACGGGTAATCATGAATATGTCTCGATATCTCAAATTGAAAATCTTGAAACAAACAATCTCGAATAAATCTATGTCTGTATACCTGTCTATTTTGTTCATAATACAATCTCGGGTCTGTCGTTTCGATCGCCGGAACAGTCAACAACGGATCGAAAAGACGCTGAAAAACTACGAAACTGAGCGATTTAATAATGCTTCGGCGTGTTTCTTACGCCGAATATGTTGTATTCGGCAATATCTGATTCTTCAAAATTGCTGGATTGATTACAGATCCTGCGGTATGCTGATAGATTACCTTATGCGATTGAATTACTGTCAAAATGAAGTAACTCCTCTCTTCCCCATCACATTTTGGACGGTCGTATGTCTTCAAATTGTACACGGAGAAATATAATCGTATAGAAAGAAATACAGAGTAAAACGAAAACTGTTGACGAGCTCTGTTTGTCCATAAACGATCGTATTTCTGCGCATACGATCACGAAGTTATACAATTGCAATACTAAGCCATTGTGAAACGCCGTCTCTCTCCGATTACGAGCGTGTCTGTTTGGCATAGGTTAATATTGACAACGGTTTGATGAGACTTGGAAGACATCGGATATGATGGAATGAGATAGTAGGGTGGGTGTGAGTATGGGTGTGGGTGTGGGGTGTGGGTGTGGGGTGTGGGTGTGGGTGTGGGTGTGGGTGTGGGTGTGGGTGTGGGTGTGGGTGTGGGTGTGGGTGTGGGTGTCATTGCTATCTTTACTCATACCCGCACCCACACCCATACCACCCTTCATATTTGAATTACCAAAGAAAGTACAAAATATTCATAAGAATCAATTAGAGTTTTTACTTCGATTAAGTAAATTTCATTTGATAACGATCTTAGATTGTACCAAAGGCATGATGCCTGAAAATGTTAGTGTTATATACGAATGATTGCATATGAAATTTAACTTCCTAGAATATTCTTCTAAAAATAATTTGAGAATTGACTCTGTTAGATATAAAATATTTTTCTATTTCTTTAGATTCATTGGATGCTCATATGACTACATCAAAATTAATTCGTCAATTTCATGGAAAAGATATTCCAATAGAAATGTTGAGTAATATGGATTCATTATATTATCGTTTAAATAACTATGAAGAAAGTCGTAAATGTTTTGAAAAGGACATCTCATATCTTATATGCTAAACAAGCTCATCAAGTTGAATCAGCTTATACTAATTCAATTCTTATTACAATGCGTTATAATTTAGCTCGTGTATGCGAAGCATCATTTGAACTTAATAAAACTGAAACATTATATAAAGAAATTTTACGTGAACATTCCAAATATGTTGATTACTTCGTTTGGGTTCTATGGTACATGATCGTGGTCAAATTTATAGTGCATCTCATTGGTTTAAAGATGCACTGGAAATTAATCATAATTCACCGAATGCATGGACTATGATTAAAAATATACATACGACAAAACAAGAATGGAGACCTCGACAAAAGAAATTTGAGAGAATTTTATATAATCCACAGACAACAAATGATTCGTTATGCTTTAATTTCATTAGGAAATATATGATTACAAACTTTATATATGTCGACATGTGATAAAGAAAGAGTAAGATTTATTTAAAGAAATCAAGCCTTATTCTTCAAGCAGCGATGGTTTAAGTTTCAATTGCATAAGAGCCATCCATAAATGGTCGTTTAGACAAAGCGGGAAGGGTGAAGACAGTAAAAGACGAACATTTCCGGACAAGAGGAGTGGGATTAGGCATATTTGAACGTCCGGATGCTACTTATGATTTTTTTTGTTTTTTTTCTCAGTGTTTTTTCCGAAGTTTTCAAGTAAAATTGGTTTTTGACGGTTTACCCTACTAACACCGACAGTAAAAATGTCGAAAAAATATAAATACCTAAAACAAAAACCGTAATTATACCGAAACGTAGAAGTATTGTAAATAAAAGTATATGGAGAGAGAAACCGCCCTTACCTCACTCTTACATTAAGATGACTTTCTTTTTCTGAATAACTTGCTTCAATATAAATATAATAAGGTATATTATTCGCATCTAAATAATCAAACGAAATAATTTTCATTTGAAAATTTTCTTATCTTCTTATCTGAACTTGGTTCAGTATCAGTTGATAGTGTACTTTTTTTTGTATATCTTATCCAATTAAAATTTTCAGTTGGACTAAATTGCTATTGACAAAAATTTTGTTCAAATCAACAATAAATCACTTATTGTCATACTTGAATTCGATTGATATCAATCAATTGTAATTGACATGTATCTGAGAATAAAATTCCAATATGAATCAACAGTGATATCATCTTCAAACGACTTTCCACAAATACCTTCGAATAGTTATTTCATATCCATCCACTTGCTTTAATATAGATACAAATGCTTGTTTTCAATCTTTTCCTCATTGTTGTTTGTCCAGCTAATACTTAAATAAATGATTTTCTCATAAAGGGTGTGAGTGTGGATGTGATTGTTTGGAAAGTAACCCATACTCACATCTCCACACCCACACCCTCAATTCTCAATAATCATTTTCGAAGTGATGCCACTGGAGATTCTCCTAGCACATGTTCACTTTTACGATCGTTATTTGATAGCGAAAATCAACACTTCTCTCAGTGAGTGTGCTGAGGTCTTTCAAATCAGTCAACTGATCACTAGTACTTTTGAAAGGAGTTATTACTGAAGGTTTTGGTTATGTTTATCATTTATTTTAAAGCAATATGAAAAAGAAATTTGACTAAAATATCAAATACATCAGTTTAAATTTTGTATTACTTGAAAATTACTTGAAAACAGTATCTCATGCTACTTTAAAGAAGAAAATAAACACTAATACCTCTTTCAATATAGTCAAAACCTTCGATATCAACTTATTATTACCCAGAGAGGCATTGACTTTCATTTTCAAATTAATACCGTAAAAGTCAACAGTTATAGTCACTGAAAACTGATCATACAATAGAGTCTATGGATATTCGGAATGGATAATATTTTAATTTTAAAGTTATTATCCATCTTGTTTACATAGTAAGTAGAAAAGAATTGTTAACATTTTTATTCAACGATTTTCTCTTATTTTCAAACGTAAAAACATTATCAAACAAGTGGCAATCAAAATTACTTCAACCAAAATCACATTTACAATTGAAACTTTTTCGACAGGTAAATTAATTAACTAAATGTTCTATTTTATTGGATTTATTCTTTATTTTTTAGCCATTATTATTAGCTGATATGTTTGTTCCGAATAAGATATTAAAGTATGATAGAAAAAACAAAACATAAAATAATTGAATATATGTAGAAATCTTGTTTTTCTTCTCTTTTTTTGTAGTACATTATAGGTATGAACTAATAATAATACACTAAAACAATATCAAGTAGTAGAAAAATTAGGTTTAACCGATAAAGCATTGTTTAATATTACAGATAAAACTTATTTTATAATTTTTGAAGATCATGAGCATGATTCACAAGATGTTGTTGCACATCTAACTCTAGTTGTACTAAAAGCCCGTGATTTAATACCACCAATGACAACACCAGAACGATTCGTAAGTATTGTTCTCAGTCATTAACAAAAATAGTACTTGGTTGCTATTTTTTCTTATATTGTTTTTTGTCTCTAGGCTTTTTAAATCTCTATTGTGAAATAACTATCGGTTCATTAACATTAAAAACTCCATTTATGAAACGAACAAATAATCCAAAATGGAATACATCTATTCAATTCTCTCTACATAATATTACTGAAGATATTATTTATATTAATATATTCCATAATAATTTTTTTTCCACCAAATGGTTTGTTGGAAATGTTTTTCTTTCATTTCCATCAAAACATCCGTCTCTTCTTTTCTTGTTTTTGCAAAATATTGGCTATACATCTGGTAGATATCTTGCCATGTTCACTTGATACATCTTAAGCAAAGAGTTCATTATTGCAAACTTTCCTAAAACTTATAATTCTGTTAGTTACAAAAATAATACACTAACATTCCAAATATAGATACGGCTTGCACTGTTTCTTCTACTTTTTTTTCACTATCTTTCCATATTGTTAACTGTAATTCGGTCTAATTCACTCTGTCTTTCTGACATGATCCTCTTCTGCATTCATTAAATAAACATAATTCATAACTTATACCGAAAGAGATTGTTCCAACTATACTAATTATCAGTCAAAAATCAATCTCAACTCATTGCGCATCAAGGGCAATATCAATGCACTATATTTTCTACACACAGAATGTTGCTCAGGTAGCTTAATGTTGTCAGTAACCGTACATTTTCGTCATCATGACATGTATTTGATCAGAATTGATCGTTTACCTATTGATAAATTGTCATTAGCAACTTTCTCTCAATGTATAAAAATAAGAACATATGGCTGGTTTTTCTACATTTTTTCAATTCTGTGGTTGTATTTATTTGCTTCCTGTGTGTTAAGATAATATATATGTCGTACTCTCTCTCTCTCTATATATATATCATAAAAATAAAACTTTTGATTGCAACTCGTCAAGAAGGGTAATTAGTCAAAGACAATTCAAGTATTGCAGTTATTATTGTTGGTATAAGAATTGCTTGTGCATTCATTACTAAGTCACTTTAAGATACATCTATTCTGCTATTGAAAATGAATCAAACAACATTCATCGAAAGAATCATGTGACAGATTGTCAAAATTATTCAAAAGTAAAGAATATCATAGAAATTATGATTTTATGGACAGAGATAAAGAAATATTCATTCTATCAGCCGCATCTTGATGTTTAGACGATTCACTTCAAGCTAACGATGACGTTTACGATCACTCATATATAAAAAATACAACAAGGTCCTTGAATCATTTTCATCAGTTTATAAATAAGGTTATAATTTTTTAATAACTATTACTGAATCTATTAATCAATAAGAAAACATATAGAAGAATATAAATTATTAGCATATTCACTCTATGTTAGGGTATCTATTGTTATACAAACTAATTACATTATTTAATTTATTAAATTATGAAAAAGTAAAATTAATACTAAATCATAATCAGTATTTTATTGAGAATCATTTTTGTAATGTTTTAAAAACTCTTACAACATACACAAATGTCATTAAAAACGATAGAGAATACTATTGATATAAATATAATAATATTCGATATTTATATAAAAAAAATTGATCACGATAATAAAGATTTAATAAATAGCCTCATCTAAAGTTATTTTAAATAAAATTAAAGTTTTATGTAAACGATGTCAACAATTAGAGTATCTATTACTTGATGAACATGATTTTCATTCTAACAAAACATTGAACCTCGATCAAGTTTAAGAAATATGCTTGTTAATAGACATGCACGTTTTGCTTTGATTGTTCTACCATGCGGTGCTAATAAGTCTTTCATAGATGTTACATCTGCTTTTACAATGAATAAAAGTTTTTTTAGTATTTTGTAATTCAAATGTATCTGTTCAACAATGGAAACAATAATTTCAAATTTAGTCAACAGCTGTTAATTCTAATATAAAATTATTTCCTTCAGCTGAGAAAGATAAATTAAATGATTCATATATATGTATTAGTACTTATTCGATAATTGTACATATTGAATAATAAACTAATAATAAAATAAAACATATAAAATTAAATCTCAGAAGTAACATTATGTAGAGAAGATGATTAAAAATTACAAAATTCAGATCAGACTGCTAAAGTTTAATGTAGTGAAGTATGATGTCGAATAATACTTGAATATTTATTCATTAAAAATAATCAATATTTAATACGTTATCATGAACAAAGTATTAATAAAATAATTCATTTTTCTGATGTGACACTCTCCTGAAACTCTTTTGCAAACTTTACATGATCGTCGACATGCTACAAAAATATCAAAACAATTATTCTATCCACAGTTGCTGATACATCATTTCATTTACTTGATGCTAATGAACTATTTTGTTCAGTTGACCGACAGTTTTCTAATTCATACAAGGTCACAGAAGTTAACATATAAAATGCTACAACTAACAGATCCACATCAATATAATCAAAAACAAAACATCCAAACGACACATCATAACACCGATGACGAATTCTAATAACAAATAGCAATCATATTAAAACTCCATAAATAATATCAAAAGCCATTTTCTTATTGCATATTTATTATGATCACAACATAAAGTTCGTTCGATTACACTACTCTGTTCCATAGCCACTTCCTGAAAATGCATTACTATTCTCCCTAACAAAGAATAGGAATACATAAAGATTTCTCTATCACATTTTTACGACAACGACATGAGAAAACTTTATTCTTGATTTACAAAGAATGTTGCTCTGGCACGTTGATGTTACCATCAACGCGCACGTTTTCGTCATCGCAACATGTATTTGGTAAGAATTAAGTGTCTACCTCTTGATAAGTAGTGAAAAGTAATATTACCCGACGATAGCTGGGGTACGACATCTGTTTTGTCTTTACACATAACACATTTTTTTCCTGTTCTTTACCTTAAACAGTGTATAACGACAGAACAGATCGAGATTTTGTTAGACGGGAAATAGTTATCGCTTCTCGGCCTTTTCGGCTAAGATCAAAGTGTAGTATCCGTTCTCGTCGGTTTGAAAGCCGGCGCTGGTCTCATTGGGACCAGGCTCTTTCAAGCAGATTTTTAGATATCGGTCGGGACCCGCAGTTCACTCGGACCTGTGCCACGGATCGTCTCGACACTGCAGCACCGTCGAGTTCGGTCCACTTCCGGTTCCTTCGGGAAACGGGAACCCATTTATTAATTGAAAATGAAATGAAAATATTTCTTCGATCGACATCTCTTTACGTATTGCATTTATCATTTAGATACTTATACCACTTCGAATGATAGTACTCATGCATAGAGGATCATTACACTAGTTGTAGTTTTTTGAAAAATGTATGAAAATATTGGAAGAGAGGTAAGATTATATTTATTGTTGATTAAATCAATAAACGATTAGAAGAAATTATTAATTGAGAGATAGTGATACTGATCGATCACAATTATTATGAAGATTAGTTTCATTATTTTTTCTCATTAGCTTATATATATAATAAAAAGAAGAAAATTTCTTGACTTGAAAAAATCGACAACTTTTAGAAGTCAAAAATTATAATTGATGATCGGTAAAAAAAGAATAAATTTTAATTTCAAAATGATCGATGTGGTTCATTTACTAGTTGCCTCTGTCTTAATAGACAAATTATAATGCACATTTGTTTTTTTCTTTTTATTCATATGTGTTAGTTGACATTATAATTGATTTTGTCCATTATAATCATTTGAATATGTTGATAAATAGAAAACGACTTCTCAAAGTATAAGAGAACGACTAAATGAAGTGGTATTCATCACAAATATGAAATTTCTTGACATGTACTAAATAGAACAGGACTCAATGCTAACATTCTAGTGAATCAAACCAGAATATAAGTCATTTTTATAATAGTTGTTTTTTCTGAGACGTACCTGAATTTCTATGAAACATCTTTCATTGGTTTTATAGACATTTGTTGTTCATAACTTGTTTGTAAACTGAATCTTCACTCTCACGTGCATTCATTGAATAAAAAATAAATAAACCATGAAAAATTGTTGTGGCGAAAAGTTGGAATGAAATCAAGGTTAGAGTGTAAGATTTCTATCAACCAAGAGCCATCACTGAAACAGATGTCGATTTTGTTTCTTTCATATACAATGCAAAATGATCATAAATACCTCTATAGCATCACATGTGAATAACACAAATAGAATATATTTGAACAATATACATATTTCAAATTCTCAAGATAAAACTCGACATCAAGTTATAGCATAAGATTGTGAAGCAATGCTGGATGATTACTCATAACCTATGATCGAAAAACAACTCTAGAGTATCGAATGACCATCATATACGAAATATTCCCTAGTAGTGCAAACGACTATTTATTTGTTTCAAGATTTGTACATGTTCATAACATCAATTGTTACGATTTCAACATGCTTTTCAAGTCTTTCTTCCAAGAATGGAATATCTACCGATATTTTTAAATCATACCATTCGTTTCATCATTATATTATTACTTTCTTTCAATGAAAAAAATATATACTTTTATTCAATACAAAAGAATAATTTATAGCTATCTTGCTTTCAAACATAATGATTTCTCTTATTCTTTTTCAAGATAGATCTAGAATAATATTCATCCATTTTCATAATTTTAAACTTGATTAGTTCTACGTTTTTTTTGTTTCTGACTTCACTATCTCGTTATCGTTCAAAACAAGAGTGCAGAAACATGAAAGAAATCTTTCGTAAAATAGTAGGAGCACTCTTCTTTGACTGCTAAATACTAATAGATTAAAAATTGAAATGTTGATCCATATCTATTCTGAATAAATTCTCCTAAAATCGTTATTGCTTATTTTAATTATGCACTAAAAAAATCACACAGAACAAGCATTTTTATCTTTGAAGATATACGTGATAATATAATATATTTGTATAATGGAATTTATTCACCAAAACGAAATATTTCATTTTATTCAGTAAACATTTTACGACATATAGACAAGTATTATATTTCACGAAATAAAAGATGGCCCCTTATATAATTTTACAGTTCAGTTCAGTTGTACCATTAAATAAAATATCATGACACGGGCATATTATAGTTTGAATTTGCTGCTGAAAAAGAAATGTACTCAAAATAATATAAACAATCAATATATTCTACAACGACCTGATTTATTACTATTTCTATTTGCTGTAATATGTTGCTCTGGCAGGTCGATGTTGCCATCAACCCGCACATTTTCGTCATCACAACGTATAATTTATCAAAGTTGATCATTTACCTCTTGTTAAGTTGCAATAAGCTATCTTTCTTCTCATTATAGAGGGCATATCAATTGTTTTGTGTCTGCACATTGTGTTCTTACGTTTTGTATTTTTCCGTCATTTATCAAAGCTATACTTCGATTTTTTTTCCTTCTCCTTATATCTCAGCATTTTTTTTTCTGTGATCAATTCTGATAAAATACATGTTGTGATGACGAAAATGTGCGAGTTGATCATAACGTTGACCCGCCAGAGCAACAATTTTTTTTACTAAATATCAAGAAAACAGTTACAGCATGATACATGTTGTTGTATATATTTAGACGAAAAAAATTAAATTAGCCGTAGGTATAGGAATCAGTAGTAACTGAATATTTTTCACAGTGTTTCGAATTCATGATAAATGATATTGAACTATTGGTTCTTCTATTTTATCAATCGAGTAATAAGTTAAAAAAAGTATCATATCAACAGTGATCTTGTTGACTCCTAGAATTATTATCAATTTAATTTTTACACGAGTAGTAGTAGACTACGTATGTTGGTAATCGTATAAAGAAATTCTATAGTGACACAAATTATTCCACGAAACAATTTAATTACTTTCAATAATTTTTCTGTTTTGCTACACTATTTTTCGCATTTATCTCTTGAAAACACTTTACTAGAGCTCGAAACGAAAGCAAAAAAACAAATTTATAATATATGAAATGTATAGTAGAAAGTTGGTGTCTCACAAGGCAAGAATGAATTACTTTTTAGTTGAACTATAATGTAAATGTAGAGATATATGAGTCCTTTTAAAAGAACAGATAGTTAGAGTCCTGCAGGGTAAGGTTTTTTCGTACCCTAACCCTACCCTAAAACAATTTTCGTGCCCTATGCCCTACCCTACCCTACAAATTTTCACCCTAGCCCTACCCTACCCTACAACTTTTCACCCTAGCCCTACCCTACTCTACGACTTTGCACCCTAACCCTACCCTACGACTTTGCACCCTAACCCTACCCTACCCTATTAGGGTAGGGTAGGGTAGGGTAGGGTAGAGTAGGGTTACCCTGCAGGACTCTACTAGCTGTTTAGTCTTTTAAATCAGATAGATATCACAAGTGTCATAGAAATTAGTTGACCAAAAAGTCTTAGTACCATAAATGGCATTCTAGTTCTATTTTAAATAGTTGTTGCACCGCCTTTACCATATTCTACTCTAAAGTTTGTTACCCTCACCCTACCCTACCCTACGCTTTCTTACCCTAGCCCTACCCTACCCTAACGTTTTCTTACCCTAACCCTACCCTACCCTACCCTACCCTAATAGGGTAGGGTAGGGTAGGGTAGGGTAGGGTAGGGTAGGGTAGGGTTACCCTGCAGGACTCTACAGATAGTTGTTATAATATTTTGGTTCTTAAGGAAAAAGCAAAATTTATCAATAATTTAAACATACTTTTCTAGTTAGGAATATATTCTA